TAAGCTATCTGAGAAAGGACGCATTCCCTCTCAGGTCATAGTCTCTAGTGCGGTTGAGATCGCAAACATAATAAAAAACACTTCTTTTAGGAGATAAGTCGTAGTTTCCCGAACTACGTTTGCTCTGATCTTTCATACCAGATGAAAGTATGTAGGCATAGGATGCGACATCCTAGCGAGCAACCTTCCCCAACCTTCACCCGTAGTTAGCCGAACTACGTTGACTCTGATTTCTCGTTCCAGACGGGAATACGTAGGCATAAAGCGCGACGCTTTGCCGAGTCATTTTTCTTTTCTTTTTCAGCCAGCCTTGATAGGTAGATAGATTATAACCAACCCGTCCAAGTAAACAAACAAGCGAGGATCCCGTCGAGTACGACGGACGTGAGGGGTGCTAATACCTTCCCCTTGCGTAACCGACTCCCGAACCCAGACAATGGTTGCGATGACCTTGTCTTACCCTTATTCGTCAGGTTTTTCCGATCGTTTCCTTTCCCGCTCTGAGGGATAAATAACGAAAGGTGGCGACTCTTCTGTCATGCCGGCACCTTATTTTCGCGCAAGCGACAGGTTCCACCTTCTTTTCTTACCTTAATTCGTTGCATTAGGGACAATGCTCGATTTAAGTGTGGGAGAGGAAGCTTTACCGCTTTTATTTAATGTTTTCCCAGTTATATATTGTTTTCTAGGTAGATTTTTAATTTTAATTTTCTGCTTAAATTTTTTGCAAATAAAATAAATTCATGTGCTGTCGAGTCATTTTAGATGGTTTTCGTCACTTGTCGGATTCTCCCAAATTCTTGAGCCATAACAAAAAATTTTAAATTGTTGGTTTAAAGCATGACACTGACCCAGAAAGTATATTACTTGACTTAGACTGAGTTTGAGAGATTTGGGAAAGTATTGATAATATCGATACCGTCTTGACACCCTGAACCCCTTAATGTGCTGATGAGTTTGAGTACTTATTATGCCGAAGCCTAAAATTTAGAATAACCTCTTGAGTAGTTTATATTAGCAGTCAGCACCATCCTGAAGCACAACCTAAGTAATAAACCGATGCAAATACGTGTTTGATCTAAAAAATAAAGAGTCAAATAAAATGATTAAAGTGAATGAAGGATATGCTCTTACTAAGTTAGGTGGTCCTTACCCGACCATTTAGCCCAACAGATCGAACTCTTGAAATTCAAAAGTACACAAGAAAAGGAATGTGAAAAAGTTTTGAAAAAAAAAGAGATCAATGAACAATAACAAGTTTACTTACCATGGGCGTGCAGGGATAACAGGCTTAATGTGATTGCGCGAGAATGAAAAAGAGGTGAAAATGAATAGGTTGAGTTATAATAACATGATTCAGACTTGTCTGCACAGAGAGGGAGTTCTTGATTACACTTAGTAAATTCATGTCGTTACGGTATCCTTAGTATTTTTTTACCAATACCTACCTTTTGTGCGAAAGTCTCGCAACGATGTATGATCTGAGTTAAGTCATGTTAGATTCCATGCATATATTTTATGTGCTTGAGGACAAGCAAAGGTTCAAGTGTGGGAGAGTTTGATAGCGCATAATTATATCGAATATTTGACTTGACTTGCATGAATTTTATCTGTTTCTTTTACTGTTTTATTTGATTTATCTTCGATTACGCTGCTATTTTCTTCTATTTTGTAGGTTACTATAAATTTGGACTAAAAGTATAAAAGGAGAAATAAATGAAGAAAATGGAAAGAAAAAAGGAAGAAAATATCAAAGAAAGAGAAAGGAAAAAAAAGGTGTGGGGGCCACCACATACCAAGTGGCACTTGCCACTTAGATGTGGTGCTTGCCACACTAAGGAGAGGTGGCACCTGCCACCAATATAGTGAAGGAAAGGTGGAGGTTGCCACATAGAGGGGGTGGAGAGTGCCACTCCTAACTATCAGGAGAAGTGGTAACTCCCACCCTTATTTGAACGGGAAGTGGCACCTGCCACTTCCTCCCCTAAATTTCCTGCACGAAGTCTCCTACTTTTTCTCAACTCCTCACTACATTTTTTCCTGAAATCTCTCCTCATTTGAAGCCTCAAGGTCAGGCCACTAACAGTATAAAAAGGGAGTAGTTTGTGAAGAAAAGGGGGACTAGTTTTTAGGCATTTTTTTCTAGTTTCAATTCTGAGTTTCCTGCTTTTTGCTTTTATTTTCTCTGTATTATTTTAAGGCTTTGTAAGGCAAATTGTTATGCCATTAATTTAGGATTGATTCGATCAAGGTTGTAAACATTGTACCGACAATACAAGCTGACCTTTAAGAAATCAAATCCAAATTCTGCTAATTTCCAGGTTTCTATTTTATCTGCTTTAATTTTACTGCTTTATCTTTATGCATCTCTTCTGCTTTCTGGTTAGTATTAGGATTGAAATTAGTAAAAATATGAAAGCCATGTCTGGCTAAAACCCGTAGTATCGATATGTAATCACAATCGGTCGGAGGAGGTTAAGTAAAACGTGATGTAGAATTTAAATGACATAAAAGTTTTATGGTCTCTGTTTCTTTCGCCTAAAATTAATAACTTTTGTCACGAGAGTGAGAAAGTAACGAAGGTTAAAATCAATAGAGCGAGAGTTTGAGATTTTAATCGGATAGCTGAAATAGAACATTAGGCTTAAATACAGCGAGAGCGCTTTGAGTTTATTTAGGATTTATCTGTTTCCAAAAAGTGTTTTTATCTGCAAAATGAGAGAGTGAGAGCCACAGTTTGATTTAAAAGCATAGTCTAAGTCAAGAGAACGAGAGTGTGAGATAAGGGTTTTTAAATGAGTATTTTCTACGGAATAACGATTCTTTCCTTTTAAAACTAAACGTCCACGAATTACCGAACCCCCGATGATTGATAAGATTATATACCGATATCTAGAAATATCTTATTTTAATTAGAATTGTAATTCGGCACTTATTTTATTTTTCGCACCCCAAATTAGAAATTCATTAGCCTTAGCTTTACATAGTAGCATTAGATAGCGGTAGATCGACTCTTGGTCCTTTGGGTTCGATAATCTTTTAAAACTACACGATCTGACTGTGCACTTGCAATCGCGAAACATTTAGACTACTAAATAGCCGATCATATATATTCTAACATTTAATTGTTATAATTATCTATGTGGATTGTTTATTTATAATAATTTATTGATTTATTTTTTAAAAAGTATAATAAAATAATCTAAAGAATAAAATTGTTTGAATGAAATTAATTTAATAGAATAATTTATTATAATTTCTATATAAGCATTCAATTTTGTGATAAGATAACATAAACATTTAGGTAACATATATTTTGAAAAGTTATATATATAGAATCAGCTCATTCATAAAAATGATTTGACCAACTTTTTATATATAGAAAGAAGAAATCATGAATTATTACTTTTAATGAATTAAACTTATTTTACACATGGCAAATTTAAACACCCTTCATGACTAAGTATAAAATATAATAGTTTAAAAGACTAAACACTGTGCCTAGAGTAAATATAATATAATTAGATATATACTACATATTTATTTTTCCCTTTATCTTTTCTTTTTTTATCTCTGTTATTTTAATAAAATATATTTTTTAATTTTATGAGATTAATTATTATATATTATTAGTATAATAAATATTATGTCGTTATTATAACCATTCATTGATATTATTTTTTAAATTATTATAAAAAAATCAAAATATTTAAATAAATCAATTTGAGATTAACTGACAGTATAAAAAAAATATTTTTTTAGTAATATTTTATCTTTTCAAAAAGATATAGACTACATATCAATTAAAATAATTTTCTCGACTGAACCTTAAAAATTAACAAAAAATACTATACTTTATATAACATATTTATTTTTCTCTTTATTGTTATTTTTTTTTTATCTCTATTATTTTAGTATTAAAATAATTTTCTTGACTGAACCTTAAAAATTAACAAAAAATACAATACTTTATAATACATGTTTATTTTTCTCTTTATTATTATTTTTTTATCTCTATTATTTTAGTAAAGTATATCTTTTTATTTTATGAGATTACTTGTTATATATTATCGGTGTAATAAATTTTACGTTTTCAATATACCACAATTATTTATTGGTATTATTTTCTAAGTTGTTAGAAAAAAGTAAAAACATTTAAATAAATCATCGGTTGGGATCAATTGTCAGTATCCAATTTTTTTTTCTTCTAATTTTATCTTTTCAAAAATATACTATACTTTATACTAAAAAAATATGTCAAGAAAAAGATAAGAAGATTATTTAGTGATGTTTTTTCTTTTAATGGTGTGTTTTGGAAGTAGAGAGAAAAGAGGTTTAAGAGGCTAAAGACACATCACTATTCACCACTACTCGTCGACACACCTCAAAAGGTAAACAGTAACGTGACGCGTGAGGTTGAAGTGAAAGTGTTTGTGAGGTAAATTAATAACAGTAACATTACGTTTTTATTTAATATATTTATTTCCATTTTCTTTCTCTTCTCCGATCTCATATATCACTTTCTCCTTCGATTTCAAACCTTGTCATTCCAATTCTTGGAATCCCTAGGTTTTTTCTACTCTTTCAACTCTCATTTTTCAATCTCGATCTCCTTTATTTCCTTCTTTCTTTTGTTTCAATTTCATTATCCATTCACTTTTCTACGCGATTTCTTAATTATTTGTACCTATTTGTTTTTCTCTGTGTTTCTGAATCAATCCAATTAATTTTGTAATTTTTTTACGATTATTATTGTATATGCTGCTTTGTGTTGGTGTTTATGATTCTAATTTGATGATAGGGGTTTTCATGTTTTTCTCAAGTTTTGTGTAGAAGCTTAGATTGAGGTTTTCATTCATCCATTACTGGTTTTCTGATTAAGGTTTATGTTCATAGATTGTATTAGGAGTTGTAAGAATTAACAACTGACTAGAGTTTTTGTTTGTTTAGGTTTATTAGCTTTATACGAGGTTGTTGGGTACTGAAGTTGGTTAGTCAGGATGGCGGCTTCGGAGGAGACTAGTGCATTGTTCCCAATTTTCATATTGACTATAATGGCCATCCCTATAATTCCTTATACAATAACGAAGCTATGTCGTGCGGCTTCTAAGAAATCAAAGAGCATTCACTGTCAGTGTAATGACTGCTCAAAATCAGGGAAGTACCGCAAATCGATATTTAAGAGGGTGAGATCAATTTCCCATGTCTGTGTTTTGATGGATTCGAGTTATTGCATGTTATTTAGTTTCACTTGTGAGGTCTATATTGTGATTCTGATGTTTCCGCCGTTTCTCTTGCTGATTTGGTTTTGCAGATTTCAAGTGTATCGACGTATAGTAACTTGACGTTATTACTACTTTGGGTGGTTATGATTATTCTGGTTTATTACATAAAGAATAGGAATACTGAGGTAAAAATCACAAGTTAAAATGAAATTGGGGATTTCACTGCTTGAGATTTGAATTTAGCATTGATGGTTGTTGTGTATATATTGTATAACATTTCAGTTCACTTATTTGCGGAGTGTTCAAATGGGACATGCTCTGAGATTTCTCCTGTAAATTTTGTGTAGGTTGAAGTTTTTGATCCATTTAGTATTCTTGGATTAGAACCTGGAGCAGCAGAATCTGCAATAAAGAAAAAATATAGGAGACTATCTATTCAGTACCATCCAGATAAAAATCCAGATCCAGGTGGAAGTTGTTTCTGTTTTTATTTATTTCTCATATTTGCAAACATTAATGTTTGCAAGAAAAGGAGGTTTATGCGATTACTCATGTAAATAATATTGTTTTTAATTATTTTTGTTTCAGAGGCACACAAGTACTTTGTTGAGCATATTGCTAAGGCTTATCAAGCTCTGACTGATCCAGTAGCTCGTGAAAATTATGAAAAATATGGTCATCCTGATGGCAGACAGGTAATAAAACTGAAATATTATAAATGTGATCAGTGCCTTTTTGCATTTTTGTTTGTCTTTGGAAAATATACAGCAGGCCGCTGCTTTGTATTCAGAGTTGGGCTTTGGCCCAGCCCTTTCATTTCCCTAAGACAGTAATCAGTTAGGAATTCAGTTAGTTACAGTTAGAATTCAGTTAATCACAGTTAGGAATTCAGTTAATCACAGTTAGGATTTCAGTTGGAAGTTGTTACATCTAGCTGTACCATGTATTGTACTCTTATGCAAATCAGAATTGAATACATAAGATTATCTCCTATCTGATTCTTTAAAGTTCCCTCTCTTTCCTTTACTTTCTTTGCATCTTGATTTCTAGTAGTTTACGTTCTGATGGGATTTGTGGAATATTTTATTGCAGGGATTTCAAATGGGTATAGCTCTCCCTCAATTCCTGCTTAATATTGACGGGGCATCTGGTGGGATACTTTTGCTTTGGATTGTTGGTGTGTGCATTCTCTTGCCATTGGTCGTGGCTGTTGTCTATCTCTCGAGATCATCAAAGTATACTGGCAACTATGTGATGCATCAAACACTTTCCACTTACTATTACTTCATGAAGCCTTCTTTGGCCCCCAGGTGTGTAATTCTTTTTGGCAAGTTTGAGAATCCTCACCATCTATCTTGCATTCTTTTTTTATTTTTATTTTTATTTTTAAATGTGAATATTACACGTTCAGCAAAGTCATGGACGTCTTCACAAAAGCTGCTGAATACATGGAAATTCCAGTTCGAAGGACCGACGATGAACCTCTTCAAAAGCTTTTTATGTTGGTAAGGAGTGAGTTGAATCTTGACCTCAAGAACATTAAACAGGAGCAAGCCAAGTTTTGGAAGCAACATCCTGCACTGGTTAAGGTATCTTATCGTATGGTTGGCTATGCCAAATAAAGTATTCTATTCTTATTCCAAATAGTCCTCTGTGTGCTCACATCTATGCTGTTTTCTTTTAGACGGAGCTGTTAGTTCAAGCTCAGTTGACCCGCGAATTTGCAACCTTGTCTCCATCTTTAGCAAGTGATTTCAGACGGATTTTGGAAACAGCACCTCGCTTGCTTGAAGAGTTAATGAAGGTGAGTGATTATTTGTGTTTTCTTCTTGGTAAACTAGATTCATTTTTCATGCTTTCTTTATCATGCTGTCTGCACTGTGTTTTGTTAACAAAATTTAGAAACACTGAATCCTTAAATGTTGTCCAATACACTAAATCATCCACTGCATGGGCGCATGTCTGGAGATTAAAACTTAGACGAGTGTAATTTTATAGAGTTTTAGTCACTTGTCAAGATTTAATTTCGTGTAAGATGCAACAAATTAGAGGCCCGGTCAACAAAAAAAACTCAATTGAATATGAATGAACTGATATGAACTTTTCTATTATAGTCAGTGATATATATCAGTTAATTGCTGAAGTGAATTTTTTTCAAACTACATTTATGGTAATAAAAATTGTGTTCCAATAGAAGCAAGACAAGTTTTATTCAAATTCTTTTAGTAAGCATTTGCAATCTATTAAATTTCCTCTCATACAAGTGTATTGAAAGTTGGAGCTGGGTTTTATATAATTATAATGTCATATAATGTTGTATAATGAAAGGAACTAAATAGTGGTTGAACTAATTTTAGATGTGTGGTTTATGTTATTGATATATTATGCAAAAGAATGGTATATGTGATGATATTTCACAAATGTCTTGGCAAACACTTGACTATATTTATGTAAAAGTAATAGACGGGATGACGCTTGTGCTAAGCTATTCCTGTGGGTTTTTACATGAAATGTTTTGATAGCTGGTAGTATTTTCCTTATTCAAATACCGGGACTGCTGAAATTTACAGTTCCAAAACTAAGATGATAACGACATTTATAATGAAACATGTTAGCACCCTATGATCATCCAGTTTTGCTTGTCATCAATCTCTTATGTGATGGATTCATTATTTCTGTTTTTGTATTAGTATTTTGAACCTGTTATATATGCATTTTCCTTGCTGTTTAATGCTCTAGTCTCTGTAAAAGATGGCAGTTATACCACGCAATGCCCAGGGACAAGGGTGGCTGAGACCTGCAATTGGTGTTGTTGAGCTTTCTCAATGTGTCATCCAGGTACTAAATCTTAGTCAATGCAAAGTATTATAACTGAGTTATTTTAACTTCTCAAGGTATCTAATTGGTTGTAACGAATAATATATTTATAAAGTATAAATCAACATTTTCCTTTGTCTATGGTATAATTTATGATTACATCTAATTTAATTGGAAATACTCATGCACAAGACCATTATTCAATCTAGTTCCTCCATTCAATTCATAGTCTAATATTAAAGGAGAAGCTCTCATAAGATATGGGTATACTATTTTACTTAATTAATACAATTTCTATTTGTAAATACTGTTTAAAAGTGCACACACTTGTTAAATGCTATCAATTTTTTTTGGATGTTTTCCTCTAGCCCATTTTGATTCTTATTCTGATACCTTTTGGGTTATATGCTGCACAAGTGCTGCACGTATTGATACGTTTTTATTTAAGGATGAGATGCTGTCTGGTTGGTTTAATTTCATTATATGGCATTAAGTTGTGCAATTTTCAGTTTTGTTTATGTTTGTTTCTTTGTTCAGCTAAGCCTTTTAGCCGTTTATTTTACCAACTACTACCTCCGTCCCAAATTATAAGACGTTTTGGACATTTCACACAAATTAAAAAACTTAATTATTACTTTATGGGAAAGATAAATTATGTAGACTTTACAGTAATGCCCCTTATAATTACACAGGAGAGAAAAATTAAAAGAGTTGAAAGAATAAATAATAATAAATACTTGAGGGTATATTGGGAAAAATGTCATTTATACTGCATTGGGAATGTAAGATGATTTATAATTTGGGGCAAATTTTTTTGGCAAAGGGACTTATAATTTGGGACAAAGGGAGTAATATTTTTGCTTTCTCTTTTTTTTGCTTCCAACAAAATTTAGATGAGTAATATTTTTGCTTTCAGTATTTTAAAACAATTTTAGCAAGTTTATATTTTGATTTATGACTTCTTTTGCAGGCTGTTCCTCTCAGTGCTAGAAAGACTACCGGTGGATCACCTGAAGGCATTGCACCATTTTTGCAGTTGCCACATTTCAATGAGACTGTTGTTAAGAAGGTGGCCCGTAAGGTGAGTGAACCGACTATACATATGGTTTAATATCTCTATTCTAATTGCTTGTTTTCATGCTATTTCTTGTGTAGTTACATCTCTAATGATCTCAAGGGTTAACATGCAACCATTTATGCATTTTTTTCTATGGAATCCAATTGTAGCTAGTTAGCTACTCGATGGATCCAGTTCAATATAATTTTGATTTATTCCAAGTGTTCTATCGAATTGATACAGATTAAAGGCTATTATTCATATTTGTTTTTTTTTTTGTTTTTGAAAAGGGCAAAAAAGGACATATTGGTTCATGTTAATGTTGGATATGATCTAGTGGCTGAATTATTAATTCTGTGAAACTGCTATCTATCTCATTTTATTATAAAAATAAAACTGCAGACCTATCTCTGTTCTGTACATTTGGTTTGTATTATGAATGAATTTGTGACAGATGGTTGTTTGGAATTTAAATGTTGGATTTCGATGACTTTTATCATATTGATTTCCTATTTGATCCGATGCTCATGACTGTTGGAAGTTGGAACTAAGCATTTTCCTTCATATGCAGAAAGTAAGAACATTTCAGGAACTTTATGACATGGACTCACAGGAGCGAGCTGAGCTACTTACTCAAACAGCAGGGTTATCTTCTGACGAAGTGCAAGACGTTGAGATTGTACTGGATATGATGCCTTCCTTGACCCTTGACATAACTTGCGAGACTGAAGGAGAAGAGGGTATACAAGAAGGCGACATTGTTACTATCCATGCTTGGATTAATGTTAAAAGGGGTAATGGCCTGATTGCTGCCCTTCCCCATGCCCCCTACTACCCATTTCACAAGGAAGAGAATTTCTGGTTTTTGCTTGCGGATTCTGTTTCGAACAATGTCTGGTTTTTTCAGAAGGTTAGTTTCATGGATGAAGGTGCTGCTGTAACGGCTGCTTCTAAGACAATTGCAGAATCTAAGGAGGGTTCCGGAGCAAGTCCGAAGGAGACCAGTAGGGCAGTTGCAGAAGCAGTGGAGAAGGTGAAGGGGGGCTCTAGATTGGTAATGGGCAAGTTCCAGGCCCCATCAGAGGGTAACTATAATTTGACTTGCTATTGTTTGTGCGATTCTTGGTTGGGCTGTGACAGGAAGACAAATTTGAAATTCAAAGTTTTGAAACGGACTCGGGCTGGCACTAGGGGCGGTGTTTTGGACGAGGGACCTATCATGGAGGATGGAGTTGAGGAGGAAGAGGACAATGAGGATGAAGAGTATGATGATGACTACGAGAGCGAGTATAGTGAAGATGAAGAAGATGATCAAAACTCAAAAAACAAGAATCAAGCTGCTAATGGAACCGGGAATAAAAAAGGCAAAGCTGCTGAAAGTTCAAGCTCTGATGAAGAATGAGAATTTTTTGTTTTTGTTTTTCAAAAGAATACTAGAACTATAATCTCGTCTTTTTGTTCCTTTTGGGTCGCAGAATTTGAATTGTAGCAGTAGTCTTCTATACTGTCCATCTTAGTTTATCAGTTAGACTGCATTTATACTCAGACTTTTGTTCTTACCTTTATTCAGCTAAAATATCATGGTTAAAATGTTTTATCTTAAAACTTTTGAGTTTGGAAGATGAGTTTAAAGATTAAATTTTGGACATTTTAAGGGAGTCCTAGCTTCAGAGTGGTCATATAATAACTTGCCCTCTACTATCTGTAGTTCTGTTTTTTGTTTTTAGTATGATGATAAAGTTCAGTTATGGCTGATAACTAGGCCTTCGGTTTTGCATGATAAGGTGCAAGAGTAACATCTTTATTTCATAGCGTTTCTTATGTGATGCTTAATTTAGCGAATGCAGTGGAATTATGAACTTCTAAATAGGGCCTAAAAGAGGAGATACTTTGGACGGTTTGAATCTGCCTCAGCCTCATTCCATTTGTTCAACTTTAAAAGGGGAAAGGGGAATTCCTGCTATTATTACTTGACTAAAAAAAAGAGTCTTACCACATTTGAGGGAGAAAAACATATTCGACCCACATATCTTTGGTTGCTAGAATAAAGGCATTTCAAAACTCCTTAATTTTGTATTTGCATCTATGATTTTACCAGCAGTATAAGCTGCACATGGTGGCAACTGATGTGATGGAAGTGATAGAATGGGAAGAAACACATTTTTTCATGTTCCCGTCCCACTCCATTAGTATCTTTTTATCAATTAAAATAGTGGAACATAAATTTATTCTATTTTATTATACTCTATCAATCTACATATTCTTAATTTGTCACTATTTTTTCGTCGCACATTAATACATAAAGGTTTTGTAACCTCAAGATTACCAATGTCGATTGCAGTTGAATCCTGAACACTGACTTAAACATTCATCACTCTATAAGTTTTTCTCCATAACTTAAAATTAACTTCATCATAGCCTCAATCCTTCGGCAAATTAACATCTTCACAAAAGTTCATTTATCAAATCCTGACCAGATACAATTGTTTCAACCACTCTTCTGTAAAACAAGTAATTGTCTTGTTCAAAATCATGTGTAAAATATTCGGTTGTGAGATCCAAATTCATTTAAAATATTTGAATATAATTAAATAGTTATTAATCAGTTTAATTATTAATGGTTAGTTATCCAACTATATTTTATTTTTGGATCCGGATATTATCCAAAATTCAAATGTCTCAATTCAATTATAATTTTTTTAAGAAAAAAATTATTCTTTTTTAAAAAATATTAACTTTTTCAAAAATAAAATAAAATTTGACTTCAATTTTTTTTATTTTTAAAAAAATTATTCATTTGAAAGCTGCTTTAACTTCGACATCTGCTGCTCTTTCAAATGGTGTTGCTCACCTTTTATCGGAAGTTAAGGAAGAGAAATGAGAACTTCAATTTTGCTATGTTGAAATTATTTTCTCAGAAAAAAATTTGTAATGGCCAACAATACAAGATTTACTGTTTTTACGTTGGTTTTAGCCTAATTATTTTGAGACCTTTAAGTCATACATCCTCAATTTAAATGTCAAATTTTCATTTGTATTTCATGTTATGTTATCATTTTTTATTTTTTTAATATTTACCTTTTCTAATTTTTAGGCATCGCTGTTTTTTTTGTTAGAAATTCAACCACAATATATGGAGAATTTCACTCGATCAATCTTAATCTCAAGATTGTTTCAACTCACGTAAATGACAATGAAATAAAAGTTTAAAAAGAAAGAAAAAAGTAAACGTTGGAGAAGAAGAAGATGAACAATTTTCTGTAGAGAATTCCATGCCCACAAACTGTGGAAATTCTGTTATTTCACTTGCAACTGCAAACTGTGAATTATAAAATATGATGAGATGAGATGAGATGTTTACATAATAAGAGTTTCTCCCTATTTATAGATTTAGGTTAGCTTGCACCCCAAAACCCAAACTATAAAAGACCAAAAATATCAAATCTAATCTTTATAAATCAAATATGATCTTTCTAAATCAAATCTAATATTTCTAAAACAATGAATTACATATTTAACACACCACCTAATTCATTGTGTCTAAACTATCTACATTCATTATAGACCTTAGCTTCTTGAACACTTCAACTGACACTCCCTTCGTCATGTGCAGTGTTTCAAATTCATCTTCACTTTTGCTACATGCTCTCGAAGATAATGGAACCTCATTTCGATGTGCTTACTTTGACCGTGTGCTATTGGATTCTTCGTCAAGTTGATAGATGACATGCTGTCAATCTTCATGGTAATTGTTCCATGAATTTTCGCTGTGATCTCTTCGACCAGGTTCACCATCCAGGTTGCTTGACATGCACAAAGAGAAGCATCTATATATTCTGCTTCGCATGATGACAATGCCACTACTGCCTCCTTTCTTGAACTCCAAGCAACTGGTGCACCACCTAGCATAAACACATAGCCAACTGTGAATTTTTTATCCTCAGCATCACTACGCAAACTAGAGTCGATGTATTCCACTAACTTGCATTCTTTTCCATCATCAGCTGCAGGAAACAAAATGCCATAATCGAGAGTCCCTTTCAGATACCTTAGTATCCTCTTCTCCGCTGCTAGGTATGATACCTTTGGCTTTTACATGAATCTACTTACCATACCTACACTGTATGCTAAGTCAGGCCTTGTGTGACAAAGGTATCAAAGTGACCCAATAAGTCTTCTATATTGGGTTGGGTCGACATCATCTTCATTTGAATCCTTCGACAGTTGCAATCTGGTCTCAGTTGGAGTCAATGTTGGGTTGCAATCTTGCATCTCAAATCTCTTGAGTATTTCACCTGCATATCTTCTTTGGTGCATCATCAATCCTCTACTACTCTTGTAGAATTTGATGCCATGGAAATATGAGAGATTTCCCAAGTCTGACATTTCAAAATCCTCACTCATTGCTTTCACCCACTTCGAATCTTTCAATGCCTAAACTGCATTGACTGGTTCGACATCTGCGTAGAAAGCATAGTGTACCAGCTCACCTTCTTTATCAACCACATCATCTGATGTAATCACACATTCTTGCAACCTTGCAGGCATGTGTCTTGTTCGTCGAGGTCTGCTTGGGCCAGCTTCATCTTTGACTTGTTCCTGTCGAACTTCACTTTCAACTTCAGTGGCTAGTTCTTCACAAGAGATTCCCGCTGAATCCTTCTTGACATTCTCAGTCCAATCCCATTCTTTAAGCTCATCTATGATCACGTCCCTGTTGATCACTACTTTCTCATTCACTTGATCAAACAACTTGTAACCTCCAGTCGAATGATATTCTATCAAGATCATCTGATTCGACTTATCATCAAGCTTCCTTCTCAACTGATATGTCAAATGTCTATGTGCTATAGATCCAAACACCTTCAAGTGACTGAGGCTAGGCTTGACACCAGGACAAAATTATTCTGGTGTGATTCCTTCAAGCTTCTTCGTCGGGCATCTGTTTAATATGTATGTTGCTGTCGAAACCGCTTCTCCTCATAATTCTTTGGAAATATGCTTTTCATTCAATATAATTCTCACCATGTTCATGATGGTTCTATTCTTTCTTTCTGCAATTCCATTTTGTTGTGGAGTGTAGGGTGGCACCACCTCATGCACAATACCTTCTTTTTCACATAATGCATCGAACTCTTTCAACACATACTCTCCACCGCCATCAGTCCTCAGAATTTTCAGCTTTCGTCCACTCTGTCTTTCACCCATAGATTTGAATCTGGAAAATACCTTGATTACATCACTTTTCTTCTTGATGAGGTAAGTCCACAGATTTCGACTGTATTCATCTATGGACGTGACAAAGTATTTGTTGCTTACAACCGAATACACCTGAATTAGACCACATACATCAGAGTATATGGCTTCCAAAATTGCCTTCGACTTCCTTCCTGCACCCTTGCTGAAGCTATTCTTGTTTTGTTTCGATTGAGCACACTCTTCACAGACTTCTTTTGGATAATCAATTTCAGGTAATCCTAAAGCCATATTTCTCATCTTTAGCTCTCTTATGTCATTGAAGTTGAGATGGCCTTGTCGAAAATGCCATAACCATTCATCTCTACTGGCTGCAGTTACTAGGCACTTGTGCACCATCACATTGAGTTCAATCTTGAAGATCATATTTTGAGACATTTGAGCCTTCAAGATCAACCTACCACCTGCGTCGAGAACTCTCATCATCTTGTCTTTGATCGACACCTTGTAGTTCTTTTCGACTAGCTGTCCTATATTGAGCAAATTACTCTTCATGCCTAGTATGTACAACACATTGGAAATTGTTGACCTCTTGCCATCTTTCCTCATAATCAAAACATTCTCCATTTTCCATTAAACGTTTTAACTAATACAACGTTGGACAACCATGTTGTGCATCGGGCTTCTGAAATAAGATTTACCTCTAATAGGTGTTTTACAAATTTTTCAATAGCCTCCGCTTTCTCGAGAGACTGCCTACACCTACATTCTACTATAGCCTTAGCGGCCGGATCTATGGAAAACTGGTGATAGGTATGTCGGGGTCAAGCCCGTGCATCTCTGCGGCGCTCCATGCGAAGAGGTCAGCATTCTCCCAGAGGCACGCCTTTAGCTGCTTCTGCGCCAGGTTAGGGATCCCAGTTCCAATTTCACGTTCTTGTCGGGGTCGTCACCGAGCATAATAAGCTCGAAATGGGTCGCATTGGGTGGAGTGGCTGCCTGTTGTTTGCTGGAGGTGCGTCTTCCGGTACTTCGTTGTGCTCTTGCTTGGTGGGGAAGCGGCTGTCGAGGTCGACGGAGTTGACACGGGGCAGCGGCTTCAGCTCCTCAGTCCGGGCTGACTTGTCGGCATTCTTGGGCGTGATGTTGATCGAGTTGAGACCCTCGATGGCCGCTTCGAAACATCTTTTGGCCTCTTCGATGTCT